TATATTATTAACTAAAAATTATTAAAATTCATATCCCGATTGAACCTTTTCTCAGGAAAAAGTTAACAGAACAGCTTGTTTTTGGGCCTTTGGGTCCGCAACGAGGGTTCTTTGCTTATGATCCTATTGGATGGTTATATAAGAATAATTTTTTTATATAATTTTTATAAATTATTAAATAAATAAATTTATTTATTTATTTATATATCAAAAAATTAATAAACACATTTATCTTCATAGATTTTGATACAGTAAAAAAAGTCTATAATGAAAAAAAATTAAAATTATATAAAAATAATGTGTAAAAAAATTGTTTACAAATTATTTTTCATATAGAAAAATGTTATAGCCATCTATTTACTTCAATTCTCAAGATTTACAGTTTTGCCATTAAAAGGACATTTATGAAATGGGCATCGATTGATCTACGGTACACACTTTGATTCAATACGATATATGATATATTATTAAAAATTTATTATTATTTTATTTTAAATTAAAAATAAATAAATTTAAAGATATAATTATATATACATAATGTAAAAATTAACTGAATCAATTATATTAATATTATATTTTAATAATTAAACTAAAACAAATATAAGAAAATATGTTGAATCAAGTATATATATCAATCATTTTCTTTAGGAAAAAGATATACCTTATTTGTGAAAATATAAAGCTCAAGCACGCGTAGGATGACCTCCAGCACGCATTTGGTTGGTAAGCAAACTTTCTCTCAATTCTACTGTAGGTAAGTTTCTGCATGGTAGTCACATTTGGAGTTAGCTTGCATCTAAATTTACTTGTCTAATATGGTAAAAGAGTAAGGCTTCCACATGGATACTTACGAATTAGGAGTCAAAGCCAGGAGTTTAGGCGTGCTAACTTTCCCCAATTAAAAAAATGGTGAGCTTTTGCATCAACGGGGCCATGGTTAAGTGAATGAGCACCCTAATTCAAATTAAAATTTCTGTTACTTGGATTTAAAGCAAGTTTCTCAATAGGTAATGTATTTAGTAAAGTAATTCTTTTTCTTTTTCTTTTTTTAATTTGATGCATTTAAAATTAATTTTTTAACTTTTTTTAATATATCATTTAATATGTTTATTTTTATATTATTTTTATTTTTAAAAGATAATTTTAACACATATTATAATAAATATGCTTATTTATGTAGTAGTTAATTAAAAATAAATATAAAATTTTGTTAATTAATTATTATATATTTTTATTAAAAAAATGAAACCACTTAAAATTAAACATAAAAAGTATCATTTAGAGACCCTTTTAATTCAATTGAGTTTGTTAGTCGGTTTAAGTAACCTCAATGCCTCTTGCCTCTAAATAAACAGGCAATCAAACTACCACTAGGCTAAGACACACGGCTGAAGGTCAACAACTTTTGCATGGCACACAACACAGCACCTAAAAGCGCTCATATATATTAGCAATGATTAGGTTGTTGGAGATGCTTTATTGGTGGCTACACATTTCGCCAAGACTTTAGTAGTATTATTAATTATATATTCATGAGATATGTTCATGGTCATTGGGCGCAACGCACACGTTTCCCCTAGTCTGCTGCCTAGGAGTCAAGACTTTCTGTCGAAAAGCCTAAAGCTTTTTTTAAAAAAAGTGAAAGACACAAATTTTCTTCGATGCGCGCATTAACATCAACGTTCCCCACAACGCGGTGCCAAGCTGCCATGACTAAAGCAAAATATATTTTATTATATTTTTTAAATCTATATTTAAAAAATATAGATTAAAAATATATTTATT